CCACAGGTAGGTACAGGTAAAATCACCTTTCAATGCCATTTGATAGGGAAAGGTGATAAATTTACCTGCACCTGTGGACATCGGATTGTGAACAGGATATATGCATTTACATCTACCTGTCACCTGAGCGTGAGGATACCTGGCCATCCAGGTGACAGGTAGATGTAAACTCATATAAAATGTCTACATTTCTTGGACATCGAACTAGCCCTGTCATTTAAAGATTGCGACCATCAACATCAATTCAATATTGCATAAAAAGATTGAGCTCCTTAGATTTGCCGAAAACTTTAAAGTTGATGTTCTGCTAGTCCAGGAAACCTGGCTAAAACCTCAAAACCGCCCCACGTTCCCCAACTTTAACGTTTTCCGCAATGATAGGGAAACAGTGGGGGGTGGTCAAAACGAATTCAGGCATACGAACTGCCCAATCCTGACCCCTCTAACATTACAGAGGGGACTTTCGTAACTATTGAGTTGAGACAGCACGATTTGATACTGGGTTCAGTGTACAAGAGCCCGCCAAATCGCCTGACACCTCAGTCTATTTCTGCAATGTTTGATGTTGATGATCGCATTCTTATATCTAGGGATTGGGGATGCAGGGCTTCCAACACATGCGGCGTCCGCCTGAATAACCTGGCGGACGTCTTCATCTTTATGGTATTTTCGCCTCTCGAAGCCACACATTTCTCTCCGCGGGGCCTCCCCGAAATTCTGAACATTTTCGTCGTAAAAAACACCGATCAAATCACTGAACCCACCGTCATCCACGAGCTGACCTCTGACCATCTCTCAGTAATCGTCGAGTATGGAGACCCAAATCTTGCCTCACGAGGGCGCATTGAGATTAATCAGGTAGATACCGAGGATTGCTGGGGGACGTCGAGGCCAACCTTTTCAACAATATCGAAAACGTCCAACAGCTGGACGAAGCGGTGGGCTCACTGACTAGCGAGATCCACTTGGCTCTATGTCCACGGTGACGAAAATTTCCAGAATCACAAAATATGGAATCCTGCCCCCCCCCCCACATCATAGATACCATCCGCTTAAATAAACGTATTCGGAAAAGGGCCTATCAGACTGGCGACCCGGCTTTGAGAAGGCAAGCAAATCGGCTTTCTAACAACATCCGCTCGCTTCTCAAAGAGCATTACAACGAAAACTTTACAAGGCACACAGCCGAAATTTCAACTGATGACAACTCAGCGTACAAAACGGCAAGACGCTTAATTAGAGGCGCTTATCGCCCCCTTCCAAATCTGGAAGTGCACGACAGGGTTGTGTGCCTTCCGAGCGAGAAAGCCGAATTGTTTGCTTCCAATCTGTCAATCCAATTTAGTGAAAACCCAGTGCAGAGCCCTGCCAAGGAAAACTCAGTCAACGCAACGTACAACATTTATGAAGGCATGCCTTACATCTCTGACCATCACCTTGTCACCGTCGCGGAGGCGCAAAGTATCCATTCGGATTTGAATGTCAAAAAAGCGCCTGGTCTGGTTGCTGTTCCCAACAAAGCCTTGAAAAACGTCCCAGAAAACATCAAAACCATCTTTTGCAACATAGCTATATTTTCGCTCGGCCACTTTCCCCTTGCTTGGAGGGAGGCTAAGGTAATTCTGATTGGAAAGAGAGGTGAAAACCCAAAACTAATCTCTTCCTACAGACCCATTAGTCTCCTTTCAAACATTGGAAAGGTGGTCGAAAAGGTCATTCTGGGACGTTTAAAGGAACATGTTGAAATTCACCACATCCTTCCCCCCGAACAACTGGGGTTTGTTTCCGGGTTGGGAACAGTAAACCAAACCACTCGCATGGCTTCTCAAATCCTGAAGGGATTTAACAGGAGGCACCACACAGGAGCCATTTATTTGGACATCTCCAACGCGTTCGACAAGGTATGGCACAGGGCCTTCATCATCAAAATGATAAGGCTTGCCTTCCTCAGGTACCTCACTAAAATAATCAATAGCTGCCTCCAAAATAGGAGGTTTTTGGTAGAGGCCGACCGGCATCGCTCAGCTTTTTATGACATAAGGGCGGGAGTCCCTTAGGGCTCCCCGATTTCCCCAATACTTTTCAACATTTTTACTAGTGGCATTCCGAGGAGTAAACATACTCAGCTTTACCTCTTCGCGGACGATACCGCCATCCTCTCTACGCGTAAATGCGAACGTATTATTCTTATAAGATTAAAAAGACACATGTCTGAAATAGAGCGTTGGCGGACTGGAAAATCAAGCACAATCCCGCAAAGACTAAAGCTATTATGTTTACTCGTCGGAACACTACGCTGAATCAAAGGCTGAGAGTTGCCGGTACGCCAATAGACTGGTCCAGTAAAGTGAGGTACCTGGGCCTTATCTTTGACAGGGGTCTGCGCTGGGCAGACAACACGGTAGCAATTGTGGCAAGAGCAAAGGCTCAAATTGCTTGCTTGTTCTGAACAAAAATAGCCTACTCACCATCAAAAATAAAATAACTCTATACAAAACTATGATAAGATCAATCATTACCTATGGGGCGGCGACCTGGGTCACCAGTGCGGCGTCTCATAGGTACAAAATTCAAAGAATTCAGAACAGGGTACTGAAGATCATCGTGGACGCACCAATGTACACCCGTACCCAAGTGCTCCACGACGATCTTCAGATCGACACAATCGAGCAGTTTGTCGCCAACCTCTTGACCAATTACTTACAAAAGGTGGACGTCAGTCAAAATCCCCTTGTCCGTGAGTCTCACATTCGCTCCAACCCCCAAGACACATACCGTCTCCCCAGAGACTTCCTACCTCCACATTAAAACCCACCCTATTGCCTAAAAATCAGCATTGTTTCACTAATTTAGGGGCCCTCAGCCCAACTTTTCATTTTTATCATTCAACTCAAATTCATTTAACAAGGTTAATAGTTCGCCCTTGAACTGAACCAGCCACACGGAGAGATCCAATATAGGACATCGAACTACCTGTATCTCAAAAACAAGTCATAGGATTAAGTTGTGCCCATGGTAGTTATTGATCAGAAAGGTGAGATCTATAAAATATCTACTAAAATTTGGTTAAATTTTTACCGCGGTCAGAAATCCCATAAGAAGAGTGCGGGGTCCTTTATCTGCGATCTATTTACTGAAATCGTAAAATCGAAAAATCTGCTGACAACCTAAGAAAAATTAAAGCAAGATATTGGTTATTTGACCAGCAAAATTTTTTCGCTGTGAAACGCGAATACCCTAACCATTTGGTTACTGTAAACGCATTAGTTTATTGACCAAAAAGGTCACCAGACATTCTGAAACTGAGCGTAAGAGAGAGACAAATGCCATATCCGAGAACGGTCGGATCCATTCCAGGTACCTACGTGTAGTTTATAAGTTCATTGAAAATAATAAAATCCACCTGTCAGTTGATTGGTAAGTAAGTATTACCAACTGACATATTTTGCAACAAAAAAAATCCCCAACTAACAGCGACTACAAAAAAATTGAAAAACATAAGAACCAAAATCGAGAAAATAATATAAAACTCACGTTGCAGAAGGCTATTCTCGCACTCATTCATTCGTCCACTCGCACATAATCAGTGCAAAAACTGGCTCATGAAAGTCCTAATACCAAATACCATTATATCAGTCAGCCAGAAAGACCGATTGTGTGTCACAACTATTACCTATTGCAATAAATTGTCTATTCACTTAAACTGGAATTTAGCATTTCACGAAACACGAGTAAAGAACTAGTATGTATGTGGGACAAAATAAAAGTAGCTGAAACGCGAGCAACACATAACAACGTATTATTTTCAATTTTATTGAGTAGAAAAATAGTTATTTATGTCATCGGTTCAAGAAGTTAGTCGTTTTGTGCTGAGCTAAAGGTTTGAGCGCAGCACAAAGAGACCTTCGGGGCTAAATGGCATGCAACATTTTATCTCCAAAGGATTGCAGTATTTCTTTTCACAACTTCACTAGTTTTTAATCGATTTTCCAAAAAATAGGAGGCATTCACTATAATTTACGACGCATTTGTTTACTTTTGTTATCAAATCAATATTAGGTCACTCGAAACACATTCCACTGCTCCGAACATGGACGGTCATGTAAACGAGCAGCTTGAGTATCAATTTATTCATGCAATAATGTAATCCATAATATTAAACAAAAAATCTAAAATGAACAAATCAGTATGGAAATTATGAATCAATTATGCTCTTGGAGCTAATTTCCGACTTTGGAAGCATCTAGCAAAAAGAAAATGCGAAATTAATTGACGATGACGCTGCTGCCTCTAGCGAGAAAAAAACGAACAAATTATCCCTCACATAAAAAACTTTTGAGTGGTCCACATTACTCATAAATTCACATTCGATTTTGTTCATTCTCATACAATTTCAATTCTTTAATGATCTATTAGAACTTAGCCAAAAACTTTTCAGGAAAAATAATATTTAACTATTCGGCATAGTAATCAACTGTGCAAGAAATGATCTTTCAAACAGTGGCACAAGAATGGAACAGACCTACCTAATCATTCTTAGGCTCAAAGTAAAATGTTGAAAAAAGTAAATTTATACCTACAAGAAGTTTGAAAGTAGTTGTATAAGAAAAGAAACTAGAAAACGGATTGTTTTATTGGAAACATATATTTTATTTTATAGAAGAAGTAAGTAGGTAGTTATAATTTATACCATACAATTTTGATAGATCCATATTACCAGATTGGCACTTCCTCAAGTTTGTCACATTTAAACCAATAAAAATAAATGAATAACTAGCGAACCAAACGGCAATCGAGAAAAAAAAAAACAATAAATTCGATCAATAAAAATCAATCACAAGTCACTTGATCTTCTGATAAATAATCCTTTTCAAAGTCCTTGATGGTACACTATAAGCGCGCTATCACCGTTTTGATTTTTTCTCGATGGCCGGAAGTTGGTAACTATTTTTGAAGGGATGATGTTTTTTGAGAGGGATGAAAAATCACGTGGTACATACCAGATAGGGCAAGTGCACTGAGCACTAACACACACACGAAGCTCTTCATTTTTTTTTTATTTCGTGTTTCTACAGGTCGGTCTAGAATACGATCACTGGGCGCAACGCGGCTGCAGGAACGCTTTATAGCCGGCGAACGTATTTTTCCCTCCCCGCTTTGAGTCGATTTTTGTCGATGATAACTCTTTCCTGCTCGCGCCGAAGAAATCATGGCCGGCATTTTGAATATTGACGATTGTTTTATTTGGGTTTTGATCTATTATTACAATATATTTATTTATATATATAAAATATATAAATATATCTATTTATATAACTCACAGAGTCTTATGTCTTATATTATAAAGTCCTCAGTTTACATGATGTCGAAAATTGAATAAAATTGTCCACTTGCAAGTAATAACGTAAAAATTAAGTTTCTCAGCCGTTTTATTGTTTCTACAATAACAACATTGTTTGGAAAATCATTACAGATCAGAAACTCTCAGGGCCAGCAACGAAAGTATAATAATCGCTGAAAAAAAATTCCGTGAGATCGGAACGTACTCTCTATCACCTAATTCTAGCGAAGATTCTAGAGGGGAAGAAGCCGATTATCTTCCTTCTCCCGTATATTATGTCGGAACAGTGAAAATCATAACAAAAACATTTCATGTAAAAAAATGGCCAAGTACGCGAAAATACTTATCCCCAAAAAGAAGTGAAATCAAAGTCGAGCCAAGTTCTTTAATACGCATTCGAAAATAAAATAGTGAGTTTATTTATTCTAAAATGTTTCAAACTTGGCGAGTACCTACCTACAGTCAAAATACCTATTGAAAGGGTTATTGTTTTAAATTGGGTTTGAATTTAGCTGTATTGCCATTTTTCCGTACTTGGCCATTCTTTTACATGAGATGTTTTTGTTATGATATATTTACTCTGTGTCTAAGATTATAGTTCTGCCACTAAATAAATTATGGATGTATGGAGCCACTTTTAAGCTTTATAATAATTAAATAATTTAAAGAGAGTCATTACTTTGGAAAACTTTATTTAACTTTATATTATGTAAATACTTACATGACAAATGAAATAAGTTAATGAATAATAACAATTAAATTTAGAAGAAAGGAACTTTTTGACTGTAGGTACTCGCCAAGTTTGAAACATTTTAGAATAAATAAAGCCATCATTTTATTTTTGAATGCGTATTAAAGAACTTGGCTTGACTTTGATTTCACTTCTTTTTGGGAATAAGTATTTTCGCGTACTTGGCCATTTTTTCACATGAAATGTTTTTGTTATGATTTCACTAATTTTTTTAAGGATTTCAATAGGAATAATGTCATAATTCAACTTTTTTTTTGGTGCATTAGATCTTTTTCTTTTTGCTACTGGTTTCCCATCGCCTTCTTGAACTTCTAAAACTTGCTTTCGTGAAGCCCCCTCTCGATCATTGTTCTTATATGCTTCCTATTCGGTCCTTTTTGAGCTTCGATTCGCGGAAGTTCGAATCTAATTCGGTTGTATTCAGCAATTGCGGACACTTCCGCTTTAATGTTATAAGTATCTAAGTTTATTAGATGAACTCCTTCTAAACTTGAAACTCTGGAAATTGCCACATATGCCTGGCCGCATGAAAACACCGATAAACCTATATCAATGAGAGCATAAGGAAGACTTATTAAGCCTTGGCTTTTGGGTAGGATAGCATATGCAATATACAAATTGGAAATTGTTCTCTGTGGACGTATGCACGACTAATTTTTTCAAATTTTGATTTGACTGGAGAAATTTCATAATGAAGTCCATTGTTAAATTTTGTTTCAAGAGCTTTGACTTTTTTATTCTGATCCGCATGCCATTTCACTTTTTGAATAACTCCTGTCTTCTATAGATATAACCATTTACCAGACCCAAACTATCATCTATATTTGGCTTTAACATAATTCCTACTCCTTCTTTGATTACAATACTTTCTTCTAATCCCGCTGTCATTGAGTCATCCTCTTTATGTTTTTTAAGCGCGTCACGGGCTCTTTTTAGAAAAAATTTTGGAAAGTTCAAGTTATCTCTGAAGCGATGTGTTTAACATATGGACTAGGAAGAGCTTCGAGCATTGAATGCTGCTTACACATGCTGTCATGCTGTGTATTTAGAAGAGCCTGGGGAGCAGGCATAAGGAGCTACGAAGGATGCAGAACGATATTCCGCGTGTGGCTAAATTCACTACAATGTTGCATCGATCTTAATGGGTTCGTTTAGGATCGGCTAAAATACGCACACATAGCTTGCACATACGCACTGTTTTTGGAGCAATTGGTCCCCCCCGATTCTCGTTGAAAGCAATCTTTTTTTTTTCAAGTTTTGTTTTTTCTTAGGGTTTTTATTTTTTTAAGAGGACGGGTTAGTTTGGATTAGCTCTGTTTGGCATTACTTTTTTTTAAGTTTTGCTTTTTTTCTTAGGATTTTTATTTTTTTTTGAGGATTATTACGAGGACAGGTTAGTTTGGATTAGCTCTAATTTCGTTTAAAATACCAACATACAAAAACTACCCCTTATCACGAATTACGGTGAAGCTCCGTCTGTCTGTTCCCTAGACTATTGTGTTTAACGATAGCTGTGGAGGGAGGTCAAGTTTTCAGGGCTTTTGTTTTTTTCCATGGGTTTTGCCATAATTCATATCAGTATGCCAAATTTCAGCCTTCTAGCATATTTGGAAGTACCTTAGAATTTTGATGATCTATACATGAGTGAGTGACAAAATTGGCGTTTTTTAAGGCCATGTAACTTTTTTGTTGGTTCATGGAAATCGATGAAATTTAATTTTAGTATTAGGTCTATAAAGGTCTGCGATTGTGCAAAATTTCAGTTTTCTAGGACACTCCAGAGCTGAGTTACAGGTAGGTCGAAAATGACATGAAATTTTTCGAGAAAAGGTATACAGTAGTGCGCGAACTTGGCGGGGAGCACTACCGTGCCCACAGATACACGGGTTTTTGTCAGAGAGATTCAGATTGTTTTTATGAAACACAGTTTCGGCAATAATTTTTGGTACCTATTGAACAAATAGGTTTGATCCAGCAAGAAGTTGAAACCGCGTTGGCCACTGAAACATTTTCAGTTGCTGGTAAAAGATATTTATTATTATTTAAAAGAGATTATGTGATTTTACTTGATTTTAGGTGATATTAGAAGAAATTTTAACCCAAGTTAGAAGAAAAATGGTTTCAAGCCACCTCACTTGTGAAGCTATGATGTGATGTGATGCAGGTTGAGCTAAAACTACTTAGATAGTCGAACGGCATTTACCAGGTAATAATGAAAAAAGAATACATATATCTCACACGTTTTACCCCAAGGCTAATACATCTATTTCGCAGAAAATTAAATTAAGGTGAAGTGTAGGTACATTGCCCGTGAACTTTCACTTGATAAATAAAAAAAAACGTACACCACACATAGGCTTATCAATCTATACGAAAACAATCTATAGTGTAGTAATAAAAAGATAAAGGAATAACTTCACCTATCTTAGGTTAAGCATGCCAGGATATTTTTCTATATTTCTTGGTGTGTTGTCGATAGTCTTGCATATTTAAAGCTTAATATCTTTCTCAGTGAATATAAATGCAGAGATTTCCAGAATGCCAAGTCCTCGATTACTTTTCATGTACCGTACCTTGAAGAGGCATCATCAACACTCTGGTCAAAGTTGAAGCCAGCAAGGAAATTATTAGAATATTGAAGTAATATACAGTGTGTTCAATTTTCGTGGCATGCAGACGTTTCAATTGAAATTGATGAAAAATTTTCTTGCTTCGACTAGGATTTGAACCCAGGACACTCGTATATCCAGTGCAACGCTCTACCAACTGAGCTAGCAAGACCTGTTTCATTTCTACCATGTCGGTCAAGTCTTCCATCAATTTTAAGTTGTTAGTTGTAAAGACCAACGGCAACCTTCGGCGGTTACCGTTGGTATGGGAGTGAGTTAGAAGGTATAGGGGGAACACATTCCCAATTAATGGTTGTTTAGAATCCATTATCCCTTCTTGAAATAATATCTTTCAAATAGGGAAATCATAACTCCAGCAGGCGAAACCGTCAAGGTCTCCTGTGGGGCGCCGCAAGGCTCCATCTTAGGACTCATTCTATAGATCCTATTCTATGACAAAGTTCTAAATATGAAGGCAGGTAGGGATACGGAGATGGTGGCATATGCAGGCGACCTTGCTGTGACTATCATAGCAAAGGAAAGAGTAACCTTACCTTAGAGAAAAAAGTACGAGCTACTGTGGCAAGAGTCATAAATAGAATGGAAGGGATTGGCCTGATGGTGGCAACCACAAATATAGAAATGGCGCTCCTGGCAGGCAGAAGAAAGATAAGAGAAATGCAGATCACGATTGACACACATTGGGGGTCTACCTATCAAATCAAATCAAATCAAATCAAATCAAAATAAGCTTTATTGTCAGAAAACCAAAAGAAAAAAAGGTTCGACAAAGCAAATACCTAGAGCTAGATTATGTCTAGGATAACAATAATTTTCAATAATGAACACGACAAGAGCATAAATAAAATGTTACAAACAAATAATGAAAACAAACGCGAACAAATTAAATTAGAATCCGTCTCTAAGATCCAATATCGAATAAGCAAACATTTCGAAACATAAAACAAAATAAAACTAGCAGGCAATACCCAACCTGAAAGCATCATCATCCCTCTTGTAACCGACTGATACAAGTTGCAACAATTGAGACACATTTTATTTTCATAAAATTCGCCTTGGCGACTAGATGGCTCTCTACAAGCTTTCTAAAATTTTCATAAGTAGATAGTACTATTATTATTTTCCTCAGGCAGATGGTTGAACATTTTAATACTCTCATAGATAACAGGGTGTTTTGTTAAGGTGTACTTTGGTATTGGTAAGGGTAGTCTAACTAGATGCAGATTATAACTGCTTTTCTGTACAAAACCAGAAAACTTCATATAAATCAAACTCACAGATTCCCAAACAAAAATACAGGGTACCGTCAATATGCCCTTCCGCCCAAATAATGGTCAGAACGATTCCCTGCATCTCCTACCACACCAGTAGGGAACAT